TCATAACTGATAATTCATTCTCTCTGAATTAACATTTTTTTCAAGAAGGAAGTATCTGTTTTAGGAGAAATATTCTGAAAACTCTGAAGGAATTTCCCTGCTGATAAACCTGAATAACCACTGAAGGTCACCCTTTCCCTATAGTATGATTTCTGACAATATGCTGAGCTGATAGTGTATTTGCATCTTCCTAATACTTTGTTGTGAGTTGGCTTTGAGTGTTTGGGGGTTTTTTTTGTCTGAAAGAGAAGACAAAAGCGGTAGGGGGAGTGCAGAATATGTGATATATACTCTGAATATAAAATGATTAGGAATGTAGAGCTCAAAGGTTGTAGTCAACCAGCCTTCATTGGCGTATATCGTATAGAAACATGCTGTTCTGATAGATCAAAAGCTACAAGAGACAGAATGTAATTACTAGATAGGTAAACATTAGAATGTCAAATAAGAATAATAAGAAGATTAAGAATACTAAGAAGATATTACTGCTTGGCCAGCCACTAAAATATTTTGCTCTAGCTTTTGATATTAATTTCTACAAAAGATGCCAAAAGCTTGGGAAAAAGCTCTGAAAAGAGCTAAAAGAATGATTAGAGTTTAAAAAAAGAAACAAGATTAAGCAAATTATTTTATCAGTGACAAAGGTCAGACCATTAGCAAGATGTCTATTAATAGAACCTTCACAAGGAAGACATTTCTGTTAGTAAACCATCTTTTAATCCATAAAACAAGAGATCATAAGTAACAGTGGCTCAAACTGTACAAATTTAAGCTAGTAATAGTAATAATAAAGATTTTAACCAGGGAGATCAGTAATCACTGGAGCAATACCATGAGGGATATGGTTTTCTACTTTTTTTCAATTTGTGATTTTGGAAATGTTTTTTTTAGAGAGTGTACACTGCTTTTCATTAAATATTGTTCTGGTGACAGTATGTTTGCTTTTCTTTGTTACCTTTCCTAGATCTCCAGATGTCCACAAACAAGCTTAAGGACATGCGTTCTTCATTGCTAGAAGTCACTAAGTGCAAATGAACCCTTTTCTGAAAAGTTTAAGTAAACAGATCACATTTTGGGCTGTAGAAATTATTGGATAGGGTCCTCTGCCATGTGATACACAGAAATATAACTACATTCTTCTAATGGCTCCTCCTTCTCCTCAAATGCATTCATATTTGCAGGTGAAGGAAGTGTTCCTTCTCTACTGACAAAGTACTACTTGCTATCACTGTGGCAAAGCTTCTCTCTGCTCATTATTTCAGGTCCCTTAGTCAAGAACTTCTTTATTTGCTTTTGATAATTCCAGGGTATTCTACACAAACACCCTCCTTTTTTTCATCTTTAAACTGAGTTTCATTTTGGGCCAGTCATTATTTCTGGGTTTGACCAGGAGTTTTTACAGCTGGAACATCAGTTCACGATGAATCCGTACTGTGTTTGGAAGAGATTAGCTCCAGGATGGCGTAACTCCTGTTATTTTGTCTATAAGTAGACTATCAAACTCTGCAAAGAAAACTCTCAAATTTTCTTTCCAAGGTACGTCATAAAGCAGAAATATAAATTTGGAAATGAAGTGTAAATTAGATTTGAATGAGAAGCAGTTCATGCTGCTGTGCAGGTGGTAGAATTTTTACTACCTCCATTGAAGTTTGTGTAACATAGAAAGCGCATTTCATTTGCATTTCATTTACAGCTGGAACTCAGCTGCTGGCATCTGAATTTTTGTTTCATACTACCCCTTCCCTTCTGGGTGTCCAGACACCAAAGAGACTAACAGGTACTTGGCTGACCTGTACTCTAGAATGGACTCCCCTCCTTTATTTATCTTATTTTAGTTAGAAATTACTGACCTTTCCTTTCCAGAAATTACTGACTTTCCTTTCCTAGTGATAAGTAAACCTGAACTGTTTGTACCTCTGTTCATCATGCTTTGCACAGAAAGGCAGGTATGCTTTAATTGCCAAGATAAACTGCTGTCAAGTTCTGTGACTCAGCAAGTACACTGGGTACCTTTGCTACTAGGGCAGTGCAAGGAATAGACTTTTCTTTTAAAGTAGATAAGCAATCTTTCTAAAAGTGATCAAATGTATGTGTTCCAGTCGTCAGAAAAATAAGAGTTAAATGCTGATGAAGTATGTGGTGACATGACTGCTTTAAAAACAAAAATACCACAGTTTCTTCACAGATTGGAAGCAAAGAAAAAAAATTAGTTCTCCTTCTCAAGCTCTTCTTGATATGTTTCTTCAACTTGTAAGTGAAGCTGTGTGGTCTCATATAGAACCATACAATCAGGTTTGGGTACACACTCTGGACAGCATGTCTCACATGAATGCCTCGTTACAAAAAGATTAAATGACTGAGTTCAATTCCTGTCTCTAATTTGTCTTTAGTGCCATACATGTTAAAACCTCCATATTATATAAATTAATCTGATAAATATAATTTTCCTGTAAATTTGCAAGAATGTCTGAAATTCCATACGCAGTTAATACTCCAAACATTTGGAGACACATAATAATCTCATTTATTACACCATTTTTTTATGTGCAAGTTTAGTCTTGCAAGCAGTTTCAAAATGCCATTCATCTTCACATATATTTCTTTACACAGCAATTCTAAAACTGCTGTTTCTTACTCTTGCAGTGCTTACGCCAAGAGCATTTAAAAAAAATGTAGCCAAAAACAATACAAACCCTCAATTATTATACTACTCAGGAGAAGTTGTACCACCTTTTCTCTTTGACTCTGCGAGTTAAATTTTCACTGGAAGATAATGAAACTTTGGTAATATGCTATTAAACCGGATGTGCCTAGCTAAAAAGAAGTGTATTATAAGTTTGTTTTGCTAGCCTGTAGGTGGAAAGCACAGTTGAGATCACACTTCTCAAAATATCAGTTGATTGCTGTACGGTACCTGTTTGTCTGTTTTCTGATTGGGTAGAGCTGTTGCTGGGCTGATACTGTTTTGACCAAAATTAGAAAGTCAATATAAACGAGTCAAACTAGACTGCCTGCTTTTTTCAGTTCTCTCTTCTGATTCATCAGTTGTTTGTTTCAAATTCTTACAGCCTTTGTGAATTGGGGGTTGTGCCAGTAAAGGTGAAAGCTCTTAGTGGTTAGTCAGTAAGAATGTTCATAAAAATTTGTCTTGATGACATTTAGGTGCTAGCAAAAATATGATGCCTAATTAAAAAAAAGGTGATCATATTAAATACATGGATGTGAGAACTCATTCCTCACTTAGGAAATTGCCTGCTTCTCATATTCAGGGATAGCGTTCATCTTCTTGGCCCTAAGGAGATGTTATTGCCAGTGTCTTGTGGCAGAGTCTTAAGACCTGAAGCTTACTGATGAAGGCATGTAAGAAAGAAGGATTCACTGCTTACACATCTTTTTTCCTTCAGTATTAGTTTGTATACTTTAACAAGTTGGACTGTACTTGGTTAACTTATTAATACCAAGGAGGATGTGAATGTAACTATTATAGTTGAAGAAAAACAGCATGTAGATTGTTTAGCAAAATTCTGAGTTAGTTCAAGTACAGCAGTTCAGCAGTTAAGGGTAGATGGCTGTGCTGTACTTCAGGAAGTGCTGTTACACTACCTGCACTGTTAAGATAAAGCTATGGACTTTGCTTTTTGGAAATTATTAAGTTTTGATGCAAGTGAAACAGGCAAATGTTTTAATTAGTTTAAAAGTTCAGACTTTCAGAATTATTTTTTTTTTCTTCTTCCATACAGGTGGGTGAGAAAAAGATGATGATGTTGTTGAATGCCATACAGTTAGGATCCACTAGTCTTGCCAAAAAGAGGCTATTTCTCAGTATGTCCAAAATGAAGCCACAAAAGATGCAATTCTATATCCCACTGAAGGGCAGGGATAGAAAGTGCTTTGAGAGCAATTTGGTTAAATCATGAGATTTCAATATACAGTATAAAAATAGAAAGTAGGTCTTATTTAGCAATGGTAACAATAAAAGGGTAGCAAGAACATGTAAAATGAAAATCAGAAAAAAACAGCACAAAATGAGGTGCAACTAGAAAGGGACGTGAAAAGAAATGAGAAAACTTTCTATAGGACATTAATAGGGGGAAGACGATAAGGAAATAATTGCTGCAGTGTTCAGAAGATGAGAATTACTGACAGATGCCACTGTGAATAGTGAAGTGTGGAATGCCTTTTTTTGCTGCTGCTTCTGAAAAGGTTAAATATGGTCAAATGCTTAATCTGACTTCTTTTATCACTAAAAAATGAGCTGGAGCCTATTTATGTGTCTTCAGACCAACTAGGCCTGATGAAATTTACCCTTTGGTACTTACAAAAGGACAGAAAGGGTAATGTCTCTGGGATTCTTGAAAAGTTACGTAGGATTGCAAGGTTGTAGGGCACCTGTCTTTAAAAAGAGAGAGGAGGAATTGGGGAATAACAGACCAGTCAATTTAGATTACATTTCTGTTAAACATCTAGAACAAATACTTCAGCTATCTGTAAGCAATTGGACTTAACAAGGAAATGAGTAATAGCTAACATGGATTTAACAGTAACAACTCAAGGGGAAATAACCTCTAACAATGGGTGACAAGCCTAGAGAAGAAGAGAAGGTGGTGGGCTTCGGCCATCACAACTGACGCTTGCTTACTTGAAAGATTAGTAAGCTCTGGCCCATGTGATTATTTTAGTTATATAAAGTGCTGTTTTAAGATGTTTTAAGATTACTGTGGGCTTGGTAAAAATAGATGACCTATACTAAGTATATCCCATTAGTAACTACCCGAATGCTATACTAGTTCTGTCAGATGGTTTTGATTTCTTCTGTAAACTGGGTTGTGAAAAATAGTAGCATAAAAAAATTATTTCTAGTTGCTGTATTTGGCATTCCTTCAGTTGTTCTGGATCTGCTATTAACTGAGATGTGAAGCAAATTAAGTATTATCTTCTTCTTAAGCTGCTAATAGCTTCTGATGTTTTCCGTGTAATATGGTTTATTTATTTTATTGCAGGATTTGGTTATCCGTATCATCTTCATTCTTGGCAATTTAACAGCAAAGAATAACCAGGCCCGTGAGCAATTTTTTAAAGAAAAAGGAAGTGTTAACACCTTGATATCATTATTTCAAACCTACCGTGAACTTGATTTGAATGCACAGAAATGCTACCATGAAAGAGGAGGGGAAGAAAAAAGCCACCCAAAGCATCCTTCCGAAGCAGAAGATGTTCTGATAAAACTGATAAGAGTGCTGGCCAATCTCTCCATTCATCCCAGCATAGGAGCAGCTCTGGCAGCTGCCCATCGTGTTGTAGAATTGCTTGTTACGGTATTAGGTAATAAAACCTGTGTTGTCTTTGTTATCTTTGTTAAGTCTGTAAGGGGAGTTTAGGATTTTTCTACTTGACCTTCTTATTAGGTTGACCCATAACTAAATCAGTTCCTCTGCTAAAATAACAAAGTCAATCTTCTGATATTCATAAACTTTTATGTAGAAAGCCTGTTTGAGACAGTTGCTGCTTTAGTACTGACTTTTCAGAGTCTGGGGAAAGATGTTGTAGAAGTGTTTAATTCAGTGATCAGATTTGCAGGTGTGATCATTAAAGATAAGGAAACAAATTTTATCTTAAATACATCTCACTGAGAGTTCATATATAAGCGAAGTCTGTTCTTATCATGTGCTACATAGGTGTGTTTGGTGATGGGTTTTTTTGAGGTTTGCAGGTTTTGTGACTGTTCTGAATTAAGTATTCCTTTTGTTCCCTGCACTCATAACTTTCAGCCTCCTTGAAAAATTTCCTCTTATGTTTTCTTCTTTTTCAGCTTTCCAACCTTTGTCACTTGAGTGTCCCTTTCCCTCTAAATGGAGGCTTAGGACTGCAATTCCTATACCATTTACTGATCCCTTTGTAAATCTAATCACAGGCTAGAACTGGGCAGTCTGTTCTCCCTGGACCAGTTCATCAGTGGCAAGAGACATCTCAAAGACCTCAGTATATTTTAGTGTGTGATGAGAACATTAAATATTATGTAAAGACAATCAACCAGATTATATGCTAGTTTATCAGTCTCGCCCACAAGCTATGAGGGATTAGAGAAAGCAGACTCACAACTTGGTCCATTCTGTTTTAAGCCCTGGAGGAGCTTCCTGGGTTGGAACTGTCTTAATCACTGTGTAAGCACTTCTGAGCCTCACAGCTTCATTCTGACACCCTCCCCTTTTCTTGAGCACTGTATCGCTTAGTTTACTACAGAATGTCCTCTCCCTATTAACTTACTCCTTTCTTATTTCCTTCACTCTTGGTTTCTGAGGCCAGAAACCTCAGATAAATCACTATACACAACTTTGAGACTCGCTGGTGTAATTTTACACTGGTTAACATTCTGTTAGGAACTCTGAGAGAATCTTTCAAGTATTGTTAAAGAAGTGGGGTTTTTTTTCAATTTTTCATGGTACCTGACATAGCAGTATAATAGTCCTCGGTATTTTTCTGTGTCTATCACACAGGCTTATTTCTGCATGTGGATTCTCCATCCTCAGTTCCATCTTAAAACACCAAATAGGATCTGTAAAATGTCTGAACTAACTAGATTTTAAAGCATGTCACAATTATTTTCATAGATGAAGAGTTGGAAAGAGTGACATATTGCCATTTTTGGATCAGCTGTTCCTGTTAGCTTCTGACATGTTACTGAAAAACAGAATAATTGTCTATAATAGTGGCCATGTAAACTATGATTGTTTGTTTATATATATATATAAAATATCACTGCTGAATTACTCATGTATGTGTGCGTATATCTACATATGCAGATGTTCTTGGGGTTTTTTTACTATCAGAGTACAAGTCAGTTGATGACTGTGAGGAGTTGGTCATCAGTGCTGCGACAACAATCAACAATTTATCCTACTACGAAGTGAAGAGTTCTGCTGTTCAAGACAAGAAGCTACATATTGCTGAAAGTAAGGACTTCTAAACCAGTACTCTTTGTTTAGCTTTTTGAAAGTGGAAGTTATTCATGCTATATTTTGACACTACAGAAAACAAAGACACTAATAATGTTTTGTGGTATCATATTGCAGGAATATGAAGTTCATAGGGCTAAATTCTTCCCATAATGATTTTTCATTCTTTTGGAACATAATTCTGTGTGTGAAAGTAGTTATATTGTTAACAAACCCTCTTCTTTTCCTCCCCAAAGGGATTTGCCATATTGTTTTCTGTTTAGCAATTTTTGCTAGACTCATTCAAAATCCATATGTCTGAGCCAAAATAATGATGTTGTTTGTTACTTCTAATCAGAGTATGGTAAGAAAGTGCATTTTTTCTTAGTACCTTCTAGACCTGCAAAATCTTATTTGTGTCTGTTTCTGGCTTATAAATCCATTGGCAGTATAGGAGTTGTGTGATTCTCTCCCCCTCTGACACTATGGACAATAGCCATATTTTAGTGATGTGTAGGAACTGCATCTTCTCTACCTGTCCCATTTGCTCTCTCTCTCTCCTGTTTTTATTGTTAGCATGTGAAACCAGTGCCATCACTTTTTCTCTGCCTGAACTGAGGAGGGAGAAAACCTTTTGATGGAAGACCAGCAGGCTTCCTCCTCCAGGAGACATTTTGAGAATGCTTATTGTTTGATACAAGTGGTGGATCCCAAAGACAAAAAAAAAAAAATCATTTCAGATGTCTCTTTAAGACACGTTCAAGGCATGTTCGGTATTGAAAATTCAAAGACAGAAGTAGGGGGAATGAAGCTAATCTCTCTTCTAGATTTTTTTTCTCTGATGTGAGTCCTTTATATGATGGACCAATTTCAGTGGCTCACTTCATACTCGCTGAAGACTGATAAATGTAACCAGAAAATAATTTGAGTTTTAGGAGACATCTCACCATAAGACCATCTGTTCAGGATCTAAATCAATTCTCTTATATATTACAACACTTTTTTTCTTCTTTGACTTCCTGGATTTTCACATGAGCCCACTCAAAAACTGTATAGCAAAACTGGCTCCCATTATTACAACTGTGCTTAGGCTATCTTCATAACTCCTCATTTGTTCCTTTCCATTTAGCCCCATATTGGAGCTTTTTCTCTCATCTTCAAAGCCCTACACAATTTAACCCTTATTCTACCATCAGCTCACCCCCTTCACTGCAACCAGACAGATGGATAATTGTTCCCATTTATTACATTTATTGCTGTTGGGTTTTGCATTTTGATATTTATTGATAAAAAGCCAAGCATGTTTGTGATATACAAGTAATTGTTTTTATTTCATTTCTCTGCAAACCAATAGTGCTTTTAAAGCTGCTAATGAGCAACAGTATGGATGGAGTTGTGGAGGCTGTCAGAGTCTTTGGCAATCTTTCCCGGTATCATGAGATCTGTGACTTCATCATACAGAAAAAGAGTGAGTTACTTTTGCATTTGTAGGAGTCCTGTTTTTAAATGTCCATAGTTCTAAAAAGGAAAGATTGTTAATCAGCTGTCTCAGTTAAAGGGTAGAAGCAATCTTCTCTGATGTTTTGCAAATTAGGCAAATGTTAAAATCCAGTAGTAGCCCTTAAAACCACCATTTTACTTCAATTTCATTAAAATGGAAATATTGGAGTAGGAAAAATATGCCATGGTGTCTTCACAAAGGTAAATACTACAAGAACTCTGTTTTTCCTGAAGATTATAATTCTGAAATTTCCCTTCACTCCTTTAGTTTTTCAAATCCAACAGTTTAGCAGTGATTAAATCCAACTAAATTTTCATTTAGTTCACAATCATAGATTTTTGATTCCCATGTTCAAACAGCTTGCTATCACTGTGTAACATGCATTTAAGATGTTTGACTGCCTCCAGAAAGAGACCTCCTATTTACCTCTGGGTGAAGTAGGATACAAGTCTTCTCAAGTCCTTTTGCTTTGGGTGTCTAAAGAGCTTTGGGAAAAACGTCAACTCTTTGCTATCCACAGAAGATGTGTCATAAGTTTAATATTAAACACCAGTTCACTGTAAATTTTTTTGTATCTACCTGTCAGTGCTTCAAGTGAGGTGGTACGCTGTAATATACAACCCCTTCTTTCAAAAGCAGACACACCACTGCTTTGAAGGAGAAGGTACCTGCAAAAGGAGAGCTGACAGTTAGTAGCTGGTTGCTGATGAGCTGTCTCAGAGGACTGAATTTTACACCTGCGCGAGACTGTGGTGTCAGTGTGCCAAGCTCAGGAAGAGCTGAGAGGCTGCCTTGCTATGAGGCAAGACTGACTCCCTCGCTGGGGCTGCCTTCTTCTGCCTACTGAGCTCAGCGTCAGCAAGGGCTGCGAGATGCTGCACGTCCAGCGTCTGCTTCTTGCCTGTCTCCTGCAGGAGCCCCAGGCTGCAGCAGCTCCAGCTGGGCTTGGAGCAGTCTAGGGCAACCCTGCCACTCACGGAGGTGAGAACTTCCCTCTCTGAGTGCCAAATGCCATATCCTAGCAGTTTCTGCTGACTCTGTGATTGAAAGGAGGGTGGTACTTTAAGAAATATGCTGTAATTCAGTTTGGTCAACTTGGATTTTCACATTAACTTGGTGTATTTTTATAACTAGAATTATGTATGTGGTGTTTTGAAGAAAACCGGTGTTCAGCCTGATGTAATAATGGCTGTTACTCTGGGTCATGCGCCAGCTCTACAGGCATCATAGTAATATGCTACAAGGTTAAATTTTTCGGTAGGATATCCTGCATTTGACTGCTTTCTAAGTATACATGTTTAATATGTATGTTGTAATACCACTTGTATGATAAGCCCATCCTCCCAGCATTACTGTTTCTTTCTTTACAATCCAGTACACAAGTTCATGATTGCTTTGCTTGATGCCAAGAACCAAGATGTGTGTTTTTCTGCCTGTGGAGTTCTGCTCAATCTCACAGTAGATAAGAATAAACGAACTTTTCTGATGGAAGAAGGAGGAATTGGAAAGTAAGTTCCTGATTATGCTTACAAAAAAGGCAAGTTTGAGTAGTTTGGTCAAAGAGTTTCAATCAGATTCTTTTTTTACTGGGGCCAATAACTTGTAATCATAGAATCATAGAACTTAATAGATATTTGGCATCTAATGTTCTTGAAGAAAGAGCTTTTCATATGTTTTTTGCAAATGCATTAGAGTGGTTTAGCTTGCTGCAGAGCCACAAACCATAGAATAACCTCGCAAAGATCTTCCTGATACATACAGCAGAGGAAGGTAACATACAACCAAGCAGCTAAGGCATGGCTTTGCAGTAGCTGCATATGTTTGACTTTACAGGATCATCTGTGGGCTACAGTTAATAGGCACCATTAATGTGTATCCATGTAAGTGTGAAGATTACTCGGGTGCTATGATATCCCATATGGTCCCTTACAATTTTTGTAACTACTTAGTACTATAGGGAAAACTATCTGATGTAGCCATGCTCGGCAGAGAATGGCCTCTGAGTCTCCTCTCTCTGAGAATTCGAGTTTAAGGGACTTACATTGTAAGATCTTGAAAAACCACTGTGGATGCAACACTTCTGGCTTTGATGTTCAGATAATAGCGGATCCAGGTTAATTGGAGCAACATGAATGATCGTGTTCCTACGCTTGTAAAGCAGTTGATACAACCCACATTATGAAACAATATGCCTAACTTTGAAATGCTTTCCTGTTCCTACATCACATAATTGCTATTTTATACAACGTAAACAATATATAGTCTGCTCATCCTTCCTTCCCATGTTCTAGTTAACTTACAGAATAGCTGAAAAAGAAGAATAAAAATGTTACAGGCAAAATGAATAATAAATGTGAGAAATTTCTATTATATAGAATAGAGAATATTCTGTAGAACATAGAATCATATAGAATATATAATTTTCTATACTCTGAAAACTTGTGAAGAAGGAAGGAAAACCAGTATGGAATAAGTCTGGAGAAGTGATTGTTAAGGAGGTCATCCTGACTGTGCCAAACCAGCTCTGTGGATTTTTGGAAATGGTTTTTGTACTCATATTTTTGTACCAATATATAGTGGCCCTAATAAAGCATGGAATTTGTCTCATCAGAGAGCTAAACTTAAAAAAATTAGGACAGGACTTTAGGCTTTTCATTAGATGCCTCCTGGTCTTCCACAATGACTGCCTTCAGAGAGGAGAGCAACTCCTCTTGGTTGTTTTTCAGTTACTGCTATTTTCAGCCATACCTGAATGTAATAGTTATCCCATCATCAATCACCAGATCATATATCTCACAGTGAAGTAGAGAAGTGAGGGAAAGAGGGTGTTGTAGGGTTGGGGAAGAGAACAGCAGTGAAGCATTACTGTTGGAGAGGTCACTAGGAGCAACGGGTGAAAAACAATGTTTAACTTCTGCTGCCTTGGGAGTTGTGAATGCTGCTGTTAGGTAATGGGAACCCTGGATAGGTACGGTACATAAGCTGGTGCAGGCAGAAAAGTTATAGCTTAATTTTAGAGTCCTGCTTATGATCTAGCCTGTGTTTGGCATCTGCAAGGAAGTGAGATTGGAAGAAAGGTCAGGATCCTAATGGTCTTCAGTAAAACTGGCATTTGCGAGAGGAGTCCGTTGGGAATGCAGGCTGAGGAAATACAAGAAGGGGTGAGATCTGCAAAGCTGTCAGACTTCACTGAATATAAAAGGCAATTCTGTGAGGCACAGAAGTAGTGAATTCCTTTGGCTTTCTCTTCCTGTCAGACCCTCTGATATGTAATAAGCTGGATATTCTGACTGAACCTTTTTTCTGTGTTCATACCATCTTTTCCAGATGAATTCTTGGTGCCCAGTAAGATTTGCCTCGCATTGCAGTCTCTGCTCTAGTGGTAGCGACAGACTTGGGACTGTCACAGTTTGTCATGAAATTTGATGGAATTTTAGTGTCTTTGAGATGGTTACATTTGTGATGTATGTGATTGAAATTGGTTAGCTGGGTTAAAAATTTATAGGGGATGGACAGATGCAGGCAGGCATAAGCACGTATGTGTAGAGAAAAGGCATGTTCAGATCCTTAGGGAACTAGACGAAGTGGGAAGCGGGAAGTTACTGAGGAAGAAAGTAGCATTTTAAGTTTATTAATGTAGATTTTTTTCCTGCCAGCTTTCATGGAGTCTGCATACATTTTTAGACTGTCAAATTTTGAGGGGTCAGGAGAAAACTGTATGGAGCAAAACACTGTTTTTGTTTGATACTGGCAGGTTAGTTGACTGCTTACAAGACTTTGGGCCAGCAGACTGGCAGCTGGCTTGTTTGATATGCAAAACCCTGTGGAACTACAGTGAAGACATCACGAGTGCAGCCTCATACTTTGGAGAAGACACTGACACATTGCTGGTGCTGCTCACATCGCTCTTAGGTGAGATTCATAATCTTGGTCTCTTTTTCCTTAATAAAAGAACTGGAAGGAGCAGAATCAAAGTAGTATTAGCTTGGGTGGGAAGTCTGTCGCACAGCTTTAAGTGGTTGGCGGGTATAGACTATCCAGTGGTCTATTTGCCATTCAGCACATTCCCTCAGATCTTACAGGCTGCCAAAGTGGAATTGGCTGCTGTCACTCCCCACTCCAGTTTGTCTACTTAGCATGCCGCTAATGCTTTTTGCCAGCTGCCTTTTTGCCTGCTTGAGCCAACTATCCCGTAGACCTTCAGCTCAAAACATATTTTTCACTGTATGTGAGCCCTTGCGGCCTCAAAGGTCATTGCAGGCACTGGCAGAAGCAGGGGCTCAGCTGTGATGCACCTGGTTACTGACCAGCCCGCACTGGGCAGTCTGGGCAATGTGGCTTCTCCCCTCAGCCAGAGGGGCTGGGTGGTGCAACAGGCTGAGCTTGCTGCTTCTGACAGGAGTCCCTTGACTTCTTTTCTCATCATGAGCTCCTTGTGGGCAAGGACAACATCCTGCCAATTTCTCATCTGCTCCCCAAGGCTATGGGGGGTGTACTCCTCCACAGAGACAGGCTGGAAGGTGCCTACAAGTGAATGTGAAGACCCTCATTTGCTTACCCAGTTGGATCTTTTCATCTATACATGTACTTTGCTTCAAGTTTTACAGCGTTTACTTGCTATATAATAGTCCTACAGTCACTATATGTAATTTTCCTTCTTTATCTTATGAGCAGTGCTTTGGTTATGATTTTATTTTGGGTAGGTCATTTGCAATTATCTTTAAAAAAAATATCTTTAAAGTGTAAATGAGATTGAAGCAAACCTTAACTAATTTTGATTTGGTATTAACTGGAAATTTACTAAATATGTATGCTCACTGTGAAGAACACTGCACGTTAGTCAGAGCCAGGCAGAAAGTGAGATCCCCATGGTCTCTTTTGTTTTTAGACAATCAGAGAAGTGGGTGGATTTGTGAGGATTTTTTTCCAGTTACAGCAGAATTACTGTTATTCATTGTTGCAATCATTCCTTGCATTACATTTCTTGCTATGATAGAGCATATCTTGATGTGAGCAGTAATTCCATCTATTTATCTGAAAATACTCAGTGTTTCAAGATCATTAGTGCACTTTTTAACATTCTGCAACAGAACTGTGAACTTTACAGTCACAATTATGCTTGAATTTTCTGGCATGCAGCAAGGAATATATATCTGTGCTTTGGAAAGTTCATACTTATTTTTTCTTCTGCTCTTAACACTGCAGAGTCCAGGCTGGGTAGTAATTGGAACTCTTATGAACTAGTACAACTTCCGTGAACCAGAAGTTCACGTACAATTGCAACTGCAGCTACAACCGCAATTGTAATGCAACTGTAATGACAATTAATTAAAAATAGGTCAGAATTAAATCAGAAGGCTCATCTGTCTTCACACTGTAGTTAGAAGAGTAGCTGTAGAAAAAGCAAATCTTATTCATTGGATCTGGTTCCTCTGTGTGTTAAGAGCCAACAGATTTTAGCATTAGCAGCTGGTTCATATTGTCCTACATCTTCCTCCTCCCATTGTATCCAGTAACAGCCTTGAACTGTCACTGCTCTGATTCTATCATTCGGGAAGCAGGAGGCAACTGCTGACAGTCGGTGGACTGTACTTAAGCGTCAGCACACCCTCAGGAAGCGGAAAAAGTGGAGCATGGCACAGCAGGCACCTCACTTCACCTGCTGTGCTTGACCTCCTCCCGTTTATTTTTCTTTCCCCTACCTGGCACAAGATGACAAAAGATTGAGGGGAGTGGAAAGAGCCTGAAAAGATGTTGGGCCTGAGAAGGGCTGGACCAAAGGCGCCATTTCTTTTTCTTTTTCCCTGCCTGATCCCAGTAGCCTGAGATGCGGTGGCATTGCTTTCCAGTGGCACCGTCATTTGCCTACTTTCAGCTACTCTTGAGATTTGTGTCACTTTATTGACTCAAAGCTTCTGGAGGCTGGTGTTTCCAGGCCCCTGGCCACAGTTTTGCCTTGCCCCAGTCCCTCAGGAGCAGCAGTGGAGGTCAGCCTGTCTTCAGAGCGTTCTCTTTGGTCATTCAGTGAAATCTCTTTTTCCAGACCTTCTGCTCACCTTTACCTCCACTATCAATTTGAGGAAGTTACTTTGGAATCCCAGTACATGTGAACGCTTTTCATGGCATGATAACGGCTCCTGGCCCCTGTCTTGCTGGAGTTAAGGGGTTGGGTAGTCCTTGCAGACTAGTGTCTGTACTCTAGTTTTCAGCTTCCCCCACAGCATGGAGACCCAGTGTGCTTGTCTTGTTCCTGGGCTTGCAGCCAGTTCATACTCTGTTTGGCCAGTACCCAATTAGCTAGTTTTGAGGAGGGTCGTGGGAAAACTAAATTATCTGAGGATGCACAGCTTGCATGTGGGACACTGATCCTTGCCAATCCCCAGTGTTACTCACATTCTGCTTTGGGAAATTTACTGTTTTGGTTCAACACTTCAGCTTTTGAACTGGTTCTGACCCTTGTTCTTGTAGACTGGAATTCCCGACCTGAGTGATTCCATAAACATTCAGTCAACTTCTGGGCGTCACAGCTTGCTAATAAAAGGGAGAAATGTCTCTTGCTCTGTGTTAGAGAGTTAATTTAGGTAGAAGAATCATTTCAGGAGTAGGCAAAGCAATTCACCCTGAAAACAAAACCCATAATCCTTTATCTTCCTCTGCAGGGTCTCTCACTTCTGTGCTGCTGAGATTCATTTTAGATATGTTGGGCTACTGTGCCATTGATAGGGCAAGAGCTAATGAGTGTCGCAGTAAGAAAAATTTCCATTAAATATTAGGAAAAGAAGTTTCCGCCATGGGGGGGGGGGGCGGGGAACAGGCTGCCCAGAAAGGCTGTGGAATCTTCATCCTCAGAGATGTTCAGTACTGAACAGTACATGGACCAGAGCAACCTGGTCTATAGTGACTGTGCTCCAGAGGTCCTGTCTGACCTCAATTATCCTCTGATACAGTCAAATATACATCTGATATCTGAGGCTGTTTTTTCTTTCTGATTATAAGGTTTGTTCCTGCAGAGATACATGACATTGAAAGAATGGGGGGGATTCTCTTTATTTATTACAGAAAGCCTCAAAGTGGCATCATTTCTTTATGCAGAACCCCTTTTGGAATCTACCTCACAGTCAGCATCTCTTTTATTCTGGTAATTTAGAAACACTGTAGTGGCATGGAAGTCAAATATTGTTTGCAGTTACTGGTAACTTCCTATGAAATGGAGCCCATCTCCCCTGCAAAAGTAAATGTTGTCTCTTCCTTTATAGCTGTTTCAGCTCAGGCCATGTGCTCTGCATAGGCACCTTGGTGTTCTTTTAAATAGGAATACTTGCTGTTTGACCATCTCTTTTCTACACAAAGTTTGATCATTACGTGGGTAACTGCCTGCTGTGAATGTGCAGTAAACTCTCCCTTACAGAGTTATTTATTTAACAGATTGTGAGTGGTGGTCTTTCATAGTGCAGGACAAAGATAAGTCACACTACCCATTGGGTGCAGGATTGTATTTTAGGTCCATTTATGGCCTAAAGGCTGTCAATAAACTGTATGAAAACATTTGTTCAGCGTTATCAGTTGTGTTTGTAGATTCCTGACCAGGAGCATGCTTCTGGTTGCAGGCTGTTTCTTTTTTTCTGTAAGTGTTTGTTTCTTTGCCACATCCAATGCCAGGCAAAATGGAGGGGGGAATAACAACTGATGACTTCCTTTAATTCCTAACATGGCTTGTCTCTATTTAAAGTATCCTATTATTTTATTTATGAAGTTTGTGAGGAAGGGAGGACATCAGTAATACAGTAACTAGTGTGGTTCAAGTTCTTTAGTTTTGATAGTAAATATAGTTTGAAAGTGTCTTCATGAACCAGATTAGCAGAGCAATTTGTGACAGGAAAGGTGTAGTTAGATGAATTGATTACTTAGCAAAATTTCTGTGGGTAATGTTAAAACCCAAGTAGTTTCTAGGCAGACAGTCATGGTAAAGGCTTGATCTTGCAGACAGAGGCTAGCTGCACCTATGAGATGTGAGAATAAAAGAACCTGCAATGCCCTTTTTACTGTTTTTACTGACCTTAACATCCTTTTTCAATTAAATCTAAGTCTCCCAGACAGTGATGCTTAGTTTGTCTTAGAGAGTTGGTTTTAAGCCATCAGCATACACAACTGCTAAGTTGTATGTGCTATGGTCACAAAATACATAGTTGGGTACATTTTTATTCAGAACCGATGACAATATTTTCCTTGATTACAGATGAAGAGCTGGTGTTGGGTTACAGCCTCAACAGAGATTCAAGGGACTACCACAGACTATATTGGGAAAGAGAGTTCAAACCTGTGGCAGAAAAACTTCTTGATAGAATTGAAAGCCATCACTCCTTTCTTCCAACTGTGACTATTACTCCCTTTTAATCATTGTTTGGTTTTTGTGGTGTAGATCGTACAGTTTTATATTTCTCATATATCTGTACATTGCCATCGGTGAGCATGGCAATTTAATTCTAAAACAATCAGTAAAGCCTGGCATTTACCGACTTCTGTCAGTATGAAATTTTTGCATGTGTGATTTTGCCAATACATTTGAGCTGATCAAGCTGCTGTTCAGTGTGATTTGTTTATTAATTGCAGTTTCTTGGTTGGGAAAATGAAACAAAACTATTTAGTGACCTTTTAATTTTTGAAAGGTAAGTTACCACTGAGTACTTGGACCTCTGTTGTACAAAAAAAGCTGTGCACTATAAAAGAATGTTACATTACAGCAGCCACATCTTACCTACAGCCTTTTACTTTATATGAAATTGTGCAAGAGTAACTCAGATGCTATTGGGGCATTCTGCTGTGTTACACTGAGTAAGCTTCACTCTGCAGACTGAATGCTGTCAGTGGCCAGGGGGAAAGGTATTCCCCTTCTCTTTGGAGACCCTCCCTTTCTTTCTCTGATGCTGTGCAGCTGGGGTGTCACAGCTCCTGCCTTGGCTTTTCTGAATTGGGACTTCACATCTTAAGGCAAAACACCCATATCCATGATGTAGGAGTTGAGCCAGTCTAGTGTGTGGTTCTTTCAATTGTTCCCACACTCCCAGGAGCCACCTGTGTGCCTGTACTTCTTGGACTGTTTTGGCCAGCCATCTCCCCCAGTCTCAGTCTATGAGGAAAAAAAAAAAGGCTCAACACCCTTCATGTTCCTTCTGGCTGCTGCTGGCTTGTTTGTTGCTTGGTTTTCATCCTTGACCCATCACCTGACCCATTTATCTCTCTTTTTACCCCAGATTACTAAGAATAAATGTCTGTGCAGGGGCTGCCAGGCTCCTGGCTCTGATCCAGAGGGTCAGCAGCCTCACACTGTACTGTGGGTTCCAGGAGAGTAAGGCTCCATCCTGACAACCCCTGCAGAGAGACTGGAGGAATTTGTTTCTCTGAGTCAGCAGTCCAGTGCTCCCTCAGCAGCGCCGCTGCACCCGTGGCAGCGCCAGGACCTCTGCTAGAAAGCAGAGCAGTAGGAGGGCAGGGAAACTTTTTTCCTAGTCTATGTCCCTGTTTATACATTTTTGGGGACTTCACTGTTGATGGGGCAGGGGAGGAGAGATTTTATGGTCCAGGTTTTGGGAGTGGTGAGGAAGAAACTTCAGTGAAGGTAAATGCAATCTGCAACCTTCTTTTTTCTGTCCCAGCAAGGCCCAGCCCCACAGTGAGTTGCTTAGGGAGTGCATGTGGCAGCCTCCATCGCTGCAATCCGCAGGAGAGAACGGCTCAGCAGTTCAGTACGGGTTGGCTCCAAGATCTCAATTATCATTCCTTCCATTGCCATTTTAATTTTAGCTGAAGTTAAGGGGGAAGATAAATGGTTTCAATGCCCCATTTGTTTTGCTTTCTGGGGGCATTAAAAGAAAGGCTGTTGGGTAAGTGCTCCCCTGTGGGGAGGAAGCTGGAGGCATTTGTTCTTGGCATTCGCATCAAGGCACAGGGCAGGCTCTGTAATGCAGGGTGGGGACGCAGTGGAAAAGGCCTGGTGCCCAAGTCCTGTCAGCAGGTCTCATCAGCACTGACAAGTGCTGAGCATCTGGCAGAAGGCAGCTCAAAACAGATGTTTTGCTCGAGTCAAGGTGCATATGTAGACAATTCAGATTTGCTCAAAGAAAATGCTAGTTATGTATGTCAGTCATTACCATGGGCCTGGAGCACTGGGTGTCCTGTGGCGGAGAGCAAAGTTGGGGCAGCCGCTGGGCAGGAGCTCTGGCCTTGTGCTCAGAGTGTGGCTGCAGGCAGAGGTGCCCACAGGTGCTGGGTGGGCACCTGGGGCTTCGCAGCAGCCAACTGCAAACTCAGCACTGGCTCCTGTGGAGCTGCATTGGCCAATGTCCTTCCCTGGAAAAAAATGTGTGGGTCATAAGAACAAGCCCCAGAATGCTAAGTTTCTGATCTCATAGCATCCTCTACCATTTCAACAAAGAGGCTCTCTTGTGACTTCAGGTGGCTGTTCCTGTCAGCAACCAAGTGCTTGGCCTCTGTCACACAGCTCTTTTTTTATCTGGAGTGGGGTGTATGGGTGTTTTTAGTTGGTTTTTTTTGTCTTACCTGGGCCCATGCAGCAGCCAGCCTGCCGTTCAGTTCCCTTTGCTTGTGCTGCTGCGCACTGTGTCCTTCGATGCCTTGGGCCTAGCCTTGTGGACAGGATCCCGCACCACCATGTTCTTTTGGGGCGAGTTGCCAGTACTACTGTAGTGCCCACCACAGCAGAGGCACATGAGAGGTGGTGGCTGCACACAGGGGCTGCCTCCTGGGAGCTGCTGGGGCTCACAGCCTGCAGCAGAGGGGGCAGCTCACACCCACCAGAGCCTGAGACAGGGCCCTGGCTTGTCCCTCATGCCCTGGCATCATACAGCTGCTTATTTGTGATGTGGGAAAGAAATGGATTTTCCCAAGCCCCCAGTAGAATAAAGATTTCTGTCCCCTGGCCTTGTTCTCAGCTCAGACCAGTTTCTCTCACTACAGAGAAATAAGCAGCTGCTGCTGCTCAGGGCAGTGATTGCCACTTCCACAGAGCCTCTGGTGACTTTGCCATTTTCTTGTTTTTAAAGACTAACCCACCATCTTTGGTTGCCACCATGAACATGCTTACCAGCCTTCCTTGTACTCTTCTACGTAGGACCACAAGTGCCTCAGCATTTTTAAAGGAAAATCTCCCACTGAGTTCAGGCCCTTTCTCCAAGGTAAGTAGGTAGCTTTGTGTGTAGTTGGGATTGGCCGCAGGTTGTGGTCAGGGCTCTGTCTGGAAACAAATCCATTGATGCACACAGGTGGAGTGCAGTGTTTGCTGCTTGAAAAGGGAGTGCATGCCTGCAGGCACCTGCGTATGCCTGGAGAGCAGAGGATGGAAAGGGCCAGTTTAGGCTTCTCAGAAAATCTCATGTCTACCTTTGATGACCAGAAAGCAGCAGGAGAATCAGGTGCTGCGGCAACACCACTTATAGACTGGAAAGATATTTCTTCCTTGTCATTAGGCAGAGCTTAGCTTTAGGATATGCTCTTAGACAGGAAAGTTTTGCTCTGTTTTTGGAACATTAAAAATCCTGTATTTTTAGTTAAGAGGAAGCAGCAGATGCTTCCTGTTAGTCACAATTTTTGACAGTTTATTAATCTTTCTCCCCTAGATCTTTTTAGATATTTTAGCTTCTTGGACTGTAAACTTAAAACTGTTCTCAGAATGTTGTGTAGTGAGAGAAACTGGTCTGAGCTGAGAACCAGGCCAGGGGACAGAAATCTTTATCTATTCTACCTGTGAGCTTGGGAAAACCTGTTTCTTTCCCACCTCACAAATAAGGCTTCTACCTTCCTGTAAGGAGGTAGAAGGTTTTACACTTGTGTGCACTATAATCTGCATTACAGCCAGCTGTAGGAGTGTGTCCAAAAGTTTGTTACTCTCTTGTAGCAAATCCCTGTCCCAGTGCCTGTCACCTCTTGCTGTAAACACCTCAGTCTGACTGCACCAACCTGGCCATCCTTCTGATGCCAGATACTCTTTTGGCACTAGGCTATGACAAATTTGCAGCCTAAGCTGGAACCAAGTTCACTACTGGAGGATTTTAAAATCAGTTTAAGTCTTAAAACATTTTCAATAACTAGTTCTAAATATTAAGTGATTATATAAACACACAGTTGGAATCTCTGATCATATCACACCTGTTATCTGTGAGGAAAGATAAAATCCTGTACAAATATGACCCAGTATACCTGGACAGAGGGTGGAGGACTAGGGGAAGGGTGGAAACAGCAGGAGTATGTGAGAGGTGTTCCTACTATAGTTTTAGTGAAGATCTAAATCTATTTTTTTAAACTTTTTCTCCCATCATTTTAGACTCAGTTGAGAAACTGAGTCTGTCATCTTAAGTACATTTGCTCAGTTACTGTTTCAAACACTTTTTAATGGTCTTTGAACCAGTAAGCAAAGCTGTAAGAACAGAGGCGCAAAGTTAAACCACACAAAAACACCAAGAGAAAAAGTTGTTACCTTTATTTAAAAAATACCAGTAATACTGACAAATTTAAAAAGCAATTCACACTCATACAAAAGTATTCGTGTTCTCCAAAATCACTGTATATTAAACATCAGCATTTTAATCATGTTTTGATTTACTAAAAATAGATGTTTTTTAGCCTAGTTATTTAAGCAACTGCAAAAGTCAGTAAGACCAGCGTTGGGCATGTAATACAGTAGGACTGTTTGGCAGTCAGGAACAACATTCCCACACCTTGTCCTAGCTCCTCCTTGGTTCACCCTCGCAAAACAGGACAAGAAGCTACTCGACACATAGTTAGATCTCTAAAAAGCTCTGAGGACTCCAGTCCCCTTCTTTCCATAGGAAGACCATTGCACTTCAGAGCTCACAAAATAATGCTCAACAAATGTCCTGTAGCATTTTAAGGCTAAACTATTTGAGAAAACCGACTGCTATCTTTCAAAATATCAGTGTGGAGAGAAGAGGTTTAGCTCTCATTAAAAAAGAAATCTAAATAACAAGGCTTTTTTGAAACCACACACAATAAAGGCTCAGACAATAGCAGTGCTCACTTTCGCTTTTAGCTTAACTGGAACAGCCTGTGTCTGTTCACTCCACCAGCACAAATAGCAGCATCGAGATTTTCTAAAATTATTCTCATAGGGAAAGCAAATGTCATCAAGTCCCACTTCTTGTCACGCTCCAACTCCCATAGTATTTGCCTTAACACAAGATCTATATACGTATCATTTGCTATATTGCCACAAGTTCAGAGAGTGTCCCGGGCTGCCTAAAGCCAAAATACCACGAGCAGGCAGCACTTCTGCACAACCCTGTCTTTTCAACTGCCAAGCGTTCACTGCTGAGTGACAGCAGTGATATTCCAAACACGGAAATAGCTGAAACTAAAGGAGTTATGGCACAATGGGCATCTTAACTTATAGCTACCGTTGGTCCTGAGGCTTCGTATCTTCCTCTGCCATACTGCAGCTGCAGAACATTCCGACGTCGACAGGCAGCTGGAGACATCAGGTCATATAGCGAGTAATAGCTCTCAGAGCATAAAGTAGTTCGGCTTGCATCCGAGCTTCTACCAGAAGCAAATTTACATGCACCTTCGGGAAGGAACAGAAGTTACATTTTAAGGGCATGCTCACAAGGAGGTACTCCAGTGAAAGGAAGTCTGTGGGGCTGTGGTTTTTGTATTGGTGTCTGCAAGAGCAGCGGGGGAGCACTTCACGTTTCAGCTACCCAGATTATTTGTCTCTGCAAAGCTTGCTGAGGCAGGGAAAGACAGACAAAACGCTGCTTGCAGGACTGCAGCACAGTGCAGCAGTGGGTCCCAGGCAGGCTCAGAGGAAAGAGGCAGCTGTCCTTTTAGTAGACCCCCTGGTTTAGCTTGAAAAAAACAGACAAGCCTTCAAGCACGCAAACCCTTCTTTAGCAACAGACTATGCACAGCTTCAAAATAATTGTTCAAATTTAGCTTAAGTTAATCAGTTAAAGGCAAAAGGGGACTGGTACCTGCAGAGCAGAGGGAGTTGCTAGCAAAGGAAGAGGTGATAAGGTCATTTGCCCCTGTGGGACAGAGAGAGAAACACAGAGGTAATGATCACCTGAACAACACAGAGTGGTTCACTGAGGTGAAGCACAGGAAAAATTGTAACGTGCCATAAAACTACTGTCTTTATTGAGACAGGGGTGTTGAGTAGCTACTGGAAGTAAGAATTTGAATTCCCTAGCTCCTCTCCTCAATGTCTTTATTTCTTTGAGGATGAGATCAGAACCCATGTCAGGAAGGGGTGAAAGGTTATGCTCTCACTGACAGGAGGGTGGCTGTGACTTTGTTCTGGCATGTAACGGCTGTGTGTGGTTTCAGTCACATGACTTCCATGAGAATGGATGGTGACTGCATTGAGGGACACAGACATGTATGACCCTTGGATTTTGATGGCTATGCAGATGCAGAGTTTGGGGCTTTAAAGAAGGATTTGTGTGCTTGAAAAAGCTCATCTCTATCAGTTAGTCTAACCAAAACAAACATATGTAGTATTTTACTTGAACAACCTTAAATCACTGTAGTTATAGTACCCTTATTATAACTGGGTAACTATTTTCACAAGGAGTTTAGCAAGAAATGGAGCTTCTGATGACAGGACCACTGATTAAGGCACATTTGTGTTTCAGCACTGTATCAGCATTCATTTTAAGCAAGGCCTAGAAATATTTTTCCAAAGAAAAACTGGAGGATGTGAACTTGGAGTAGACATCCAAGAGGCAACAGCAAGAAATATTACTGGGAGGTACAATTCAGACTGGGAGGTACAATTCAAACACAGCAGCAGGACCTCAGGCTTTAACGAGAGCAACTGCTTTGGGGCCATCTGCACTGAAAATGACTGTAGGACTGCGAAGACGCTGGCCAGCAAGCGAGGTCCTCTGGCTCTCTCACTGCTTCCTTGTGGCACTGGGCCACAGGCAGCACCAGCCGACAGCGGAGCAGAAGCCATCCCGGCTACGTGTCCAACCTCCCCGTGCAGTTCAGAGCTTGCACAGGCCAGGGCAGCTGTTAGCTAGCAACCATGCAGTAGGAAACGCAAGATTATTTCAGCCTGGGAAGTGCTACACCTCCTGGTGAATTCACTGCATGTGAGCAGCATCCCAGGAACGTCAGGTAAAGCTTCGAGGCTAGCGGGTAGCTGCGGCTGTTAGCTTGGCAAGCGGAGCTACGGCCCACAGCCCTCAGCGCGCGTGCGAACGGTACCTTCTCAGAGTGTTCAAACTGCCTCCAGAAGCTATCATACATTCTTTTCGTGGTCTTTTCAGGAGTGCAAACCACAGTCTTGATATAAACCTTAAAGCTGCGGTCCAACAACTGATTAATTTCACCATAATCATAATCATCATATCTGTTCGGAATTGAAAGAAAAACACTTTCATTTTCAAGAACCAGTTATTTCACTTTGTTTCTAAGCTCCTATGGCAAAATAAATTAGTGTGTAATTTGTACCACAACTGGCCCTCCCCCATAAACAAAAATGTTTAATACATGCATGTTTGCTTAACAAACAGCTTTCCTTCAATCTGAAAAAGGAGAAAAAAAAGAAGCCAACACTTATAAGCCTGATGCGTTCAGAACAAAAGTAGCAGAACTGACCTTATTCCAAACATACAATGAATATAGTTCCAAATAGCTCGTCTTAGCATTGAGGTATCCACATCTTTGTGCATGGCCATTGTGTTGTAAGTCAGATTATAAGCAATATGAAACTTCTCATCAAGTAATTGTCCCACATCTGGGTAAAGACGATTAACCAAGGAATAACCGTGGTCTTCCCAGGAGTAATCCTTTAAAGAAACAAAAATATAGAATGAAGAACATCAGAAATGAACTTAAGACCTAGTGTTTTAATGTAATTTATCTCGGGGCAGATAATCCAGAGGGGGAAGGGTGGCAGGGTGGGGGCTGTTCATTTGCTTGCTTTAAACCTTCTCATCCATGGGGCAGTAAATTACAGCACAGCGATTTCCAGGTTTGGTATTTGGCACGACAAACCAAATGCACACTAAACCTCCTGATAGCAGCCCTGTCCTTGTTACCTGAACACGAAAGGTGGGCACGTGCATTCCATGTCTGGAGAAGTCTTTGTAACCATAGCTGGTATCCTCAAAGTGACGAGACACATCTCTTGTTGGTGCCGATTCTTCATCTTCTGTTAATTTCAAACAGATTTTCACACAATTTCAGTAAGAACAAATTGAAAATGTACTAGCAGAACTCTTGCAGAAGAATGGGAGTCCCTATGCTTTTTAAAGAAAGACACAGTTTCACTAGACTACCTGCATTTGAGTATGACTGCAACTATGCTTTTGAGGCAACTCCATGAAAAACGCTCAGATTCTTTCTTATAGATGAACACCTCTTTCTCCCTTGTGTCCTAGTCTTCACCCTATCTCTTCAGTCTAGGAGACACTTTGCTCCTAACTCAAGGGGGTCTGTAAAAATGTCAAGGAAGAATTGTTTTGGAACAGAGCTTATTAAAAAAAAGAGACCTCTAAGGCTTCCATGCCAACTCTGTTGAAAAGCCCACTTCATCCCCAAACTTATAACAGGTTAAGTATTGTCTCACAGTCATCTGAAAATTATTGTTTCATACACTTGAATAGCTAAGTGTGTTAAGGACTTTTTAGCAACATCTTGCGAGATGCTTAAATCTCTCATGAAACGTTTTAATCTCTTGAGAGGGAGATTCCATTTCTGTTGGAAATTTCTATTAAACATAATACTGGTCAACGAGCATTATGGTGTGTTTGAGAGAAGCCACAAATCTTGGCCCTACTTTGCTTTTAAGTGTTGCTGGAAGAAAACAAGGCACCCCTAATCTTGATCCCTTCATAGAAATGTTTTTTTGAGACATCTAATAACACTTTTTTTCCTTTAGAGGTAGTAAGCATTTCTTCAAGTGATTTGGAAAAGCCTAAATAAATAAATATATATATACACACTACATCTGTTCTACCTGAAGAACACACGAACATGCTTTCTCTCTTCTCTCTTTCAAAACGTGTAGCCATCTCTTCTTGGCTGGCTTCCTCTTCATCTCTGCACTCCTGTAGCTGCTTCATTTTCTCCATAAGAGCTTCAACTTCACAGACGGACTCCGTAGACTTGAAAAGGAGAGAAAAACATTTCCTTTCCATGTAGCAAGAACTGACAACGATGGCAGAAATCATCATCAGAAAATTTAAACGCAACTTATGTCCTTCATTTACATCTTTAAACACTGATTTTTCGAGCAAAACAGTTCTTGTAAGAAATTTGTACTGACCCAACGGTTCACATTTAGTCATCACATTCTCTCAGTTAGATCCCTGGTATTTGTAGCATATTTTAAGAATCACAGCTTTTTTGGAACAAGTGTTCTCACATAAAATTAAAGTAATTTCTCTTTCTTACTTTAAATGTTTAACAACTGAAAAACAAGGAGCTGTAACAGAAATTCTGATAGAGGAAGTAACCACAATTTACTACCCAACTGTAATTTTCCCCTTCTCTGCTCAGAACAAACATACTGAAGGAAAAAGGAAGAGTGAATGTAAATGCATATTTAATGAAGCCTCAAAGGAAAGCTAGTGCAAGATAATCTTATTTCACAGGAGCTGTTTTAACACCACAACCCACTATTAATTCAATATCTGGTCTTGTAAAAATCCATCAGCACAAAGCAAAATAAATTTATCTTCAGTTTATACACTTTTGCCCCTTTCCTCTCTGCCTTTTTCAGTTTGGTCCTTCACAGAGCCAGCAAGCTTCATCAAGCAAAATTTAAAAGGCACCCACACCATTGCAGTAAAATCTCACAGGCAAGGAACCTCCACTGAAACTACCCCATTATCACTGTTCTTAAACCAGCACTTTGTCCACATCATGCTTTTCACTAAGCGGAACCAAGCACAGATCAGTGAGCAGAACCACTGCAGGCAGAAAACACTGTTTTGGAGACAAGAGTCAGAAAATAGTGAATGATCTATTGTCTGATGTATTGCAAACAACTCAAGGCAACAAAGTCAAAGACTGGAATCAAAGGAAAAGCCAATTTTCCATTGCACCCATGAAAAAAAGCACTCCTGGCCACTGCTGCTCAGGGCATCTATCATGAACTAGCTGAGGCCAGGAATTGTCTCAATTTGCCTGTAGGAATGACAAGAGATCAAAAAAATAGACAACTGAGAGACAGTATCTTTGTCTCTCCCTTCAGTAGCTTCCCCCAGCCTACCAGTGTCATTTCAGCTTCTCCTAAATGTATTTTTTCAACTGGCTCATCAATCCCACCCTCACTGAATGAACAGAAATGAGCACCCTCCATGTCTTAAGTTTACAAAGAAACTACTACTATTGGAAGAGATTGTTTGTTCAGATACTTACTGGAATACTTCCAGTTGGGCTGGCATGAATTTCATCCACCCCGTGGTAACCATTTGTAATATCACATATGCAGTAGTTGCTGACAGAAGGGGGCCTGAAGGTGTGACCCCCTTCACAGTCGATCTCCGGGCTGATGCCACAACCAAACGTGAAGGAAGCAAGGGAGTGGTAGTGTGTAAGGAGAACGACCGCGTGGATCAGCTCTGCCAGGGACCAGCTGTTCTCTTCAGTCTTCAAAAGTTGCTTTCAAAATAACGCAAGACAAAAATATTAACTTTAAAGCCATTCAGATTATCCCACCTTAATGCAGTTTATCAACACATTTCGTTACCAGATAAAAAGATTTTTCCAACATCCACAACTTCTTCCTAACTCTCTACTACCATTAGCGTGCTCACTGTCCTGTTCCCAGGTGACCTGCCAGCCACAGACTCACGTGGTTAAGCCACACAGGAAACGACTTCTCTCCCCTCTTTGGCCCTCAGCTACTGAATCCACTGGGGTTTCTATTTTGCACCATATGGTTTGTATCGAGGCCAGACCAACTTGCATTGAAATCTCACACCTCTGATGAAGATGCAACCACAACAGTCACATGTTTCTTCAACTGGTCTTTACAGCCTCAGAAAACTCTGGCAACTCCTTGTGGATCAGCTGTGTAAAAACTTGGCATGGGGGCCAAGCTCCCTCCATCTTGTCCTTGTGGGTGGAACGCTCTGCATTTGAGAAGCTTCAAACCCCAACTTCCCCTTCGGGCAGGAAAGTGTGGGAGGTTTGGGGCCTTCTGGCAGAGTGCGTGCCCTCCCTCACAGCCCAGCGTTCTGCCTCCCAGCAGGACCTGCCGCTGCCTCTCCACCTTGCAGGCAGAACTCACAAAGTCCTAGCACCCGCTTCCTCCTTGCTAAGGGTAAAGAGGAGAGCAGCAGGGTTGCTCCAGCAGCCACGGCCCAGCCCAGGGCAGGCATGGCCCTGCCGTGAGAGCCACCCGTGCTGCACACATACTGCATGTTCCCCTGGGCTGTTCTGTCAGCCTGCTCCCTCCAACCCAGCCTGAAAACTAAGCATATGAACCAGCAGCAATTGAGACAAAAATTGTGGTGATTTGTGTTCTGCCTGCAGCATCTCAGAAACGCTCAGGGGGTTCTGGCTACCCAAAGCACACAATTTAAGGAAGCACATATCTGAGCACATCGTCATCACACCAGCAGAATTCTGACATGACAACTCTGAAACATATGTTGTAAATTAAATTTGTTAGCCACTTAAGACCAGTTATGATCCTGTTATAGTTTTAGAAGGACACGAATGATATTGCATCATGCAACCTCACAGTGATACAACACTGAAATGAAAGTCAGTAACACAGAACAGCTTTCACCCCATCTGGTTCCTAACCCTAAGAATCCATGATTGCCTTACTGAAAAATAAGGTACATTCACATTACTCCATGAAAGATTTACCTCGATATGTTCCTTGGTGATAAGCCAGGGTCGGTGAGCCAACATTTTGTTCAGTTCTCCTAAATTCTGCAGTTTTTGAGGTGCATTTTCCAGACCATTCAACCATTTAGGGTCCCCACCGACATGAAGGAAGTCATTCACATGGAGGTTAACAAGGTAAGAGCATTGATGTCGTGCTGCAGCCTAGGAAGCAAAACGCAGTTGTGATACAGAAAACAACTACAGTAAGTTAGTGCTTTATGACAAATATCCTAAGCCATCATTTCCTCAAAATATTCAAGAATAAGACTTCCAGTGATCAAAGGCTGAAGTAACAAAAATTGAGATTAACACATCAGCCTGTTTTGATTATTGGTCTCGCAACATAAATACTCCTCATTCATCTATACTGGCTATGGGTGCAACATGCCTGTATCCCAGGAGAAGTACAGGCATAGATTTATTACACAGTATTCTTCAGTGGGGAAAAAGCAAGGCTGCCTCTAGGTGAATCTTTACCAGCAAAACCAAAAGTAGGTGTCAGAATGCATATAGCAAGGGAGACTAAGGGCAGCTTTTCAGCAAAGAACAGACCCAGTATCATTTATTCAAACATTAATACTTTCCCCAACAAATTAAGACACAGCCCAAAACTTTAATTCAATTTCAGCATGCAAAGATCATTCACCTGGATTGGAAATTATGAAATCAACACTTCTGGCAGAAAACTTGCTTAGAATTTAGAGATTCAGAAAGAGATGATGGGATGGATTATTGAGTTAGAGAGGGAGTGAATTCGACAGAACACAGACACACAAACAAGCTTTCCTGAAAAACAGTTTCTGAGATACTAAGGAAACCAAAAATAAACAATTGTCTTATTTTTACAGCAGATTTTTTCCCCCCCTCTTTCTCACAGTCCTACTGAAACTATGAACATAAAGTATTGGTCATGGAACAATTTGTAAACCAGACACAAACCAACCTACTCTGCTTCTCCCCTTAGCTCCCAATGAAACGCCTTTCCAACTAGAAACTGCAAAACACAGTAACAACTGCTATTAAACAAGACCAGAGATTGTTGCCAAAGTGGCTGTTTCTGCTCGCTACTTTATGATCCAGCATACCATTATCCCGATGTAGTGTCGGTAATGAAGTGGGAGTGGACCATCCATTTGCAGGAGATAGTGCTGAGTTTTTAGAAAGCTTTCAAGATACTGTGGGTGGAAAACCATCACCAAGGTAACATTGTCCAGTCGGCCCAGCGTGGCGAAAGAATCTGCAAACAGCGTGTGCATCATGGCGTCTTCGTTTCCCACTTGAATCGTCTGATTGAACAGAAAGAGTAAGTAGCAAGATTGCCTATAAACTACCAAGAGGAGTAAATAAATATATTACCACAGCAGCCAGAGGCCCCAGTGGAAGGAATTACGTTATAAATCTATTAATGGCATTAAATCAGTGCACATAAGGCAGGGCACAAATTCCCTTTAATACCTCTCATTTAGGAGATCACAAGTGGTTGTATCAGCAAAAGGAGATTTTTGGCTTTATGCTTTCCTCTTGTACAACACCGACTTCTTATTTTTAAGTCTCACCCTAATTTTTTTGAATGCCCCAAATTGATCTTAGTTTATTATAACAACAAAAAGATAGTTGAATAATCATCTTTACTAAGGAAAAAAAGGGAGAAAGAAGTAAAAAGCTAGCTAGCTAAGATGACAAGAAAATAAAAGGAAATTGAAACTTAAGGCTCTAAAATTCCTAGAAAACCACAGGCCTATTACTAACTTCTCTGCTCCAAATTCTCTTACCAGACAACCAGGAGAGAAGCACTAGAAATGCTCAGCCACAGCACTCTGAAGCTTCTCGGATTATTCCAAATGGTAAAGGCAGCTCAAGAAAAAGCAAATCCAGAGCAGGGGGGCAGGTGCCTTGTGGACCAGTAGGAAATTACATCCGGATGTTCACAAGGAAACAGACACTCTTAAAGAAAACAGTATTGTGTTTCTCTTATGCTAGATAGCAGTACAGGAGGGATCATAACTATTCCAAAGCTCCCCAGGGCTCCTGCTGCTTCTGTACACTAGAACTGCAGCCAAAGTCTCACCGGGACTGAATGTGATCGCGACTGAAAATGTTCTGCAGCTCAGCAGCTGTCCTGAAACCAAATGTGGGTTACTTCTAAACGGGTGTTCCTTAAAAGCATAAAGTTCACTGTGTACTTGAAAACACTACCACACCTCCTTCTCGGGGATGAATCTGCTTGGTCCGTGTCCCAGTGGTCTAGGAATTCTTATTCCAAGTTCCTAGAAAAGAAATTACACCATCTCAGCATTTAGTTATAAACAGCTTTTTAGCTGTGGTTGCAAAAAAGAAAAGAGTTCTCCATTCAGAGCTGGGCTTATTTGGGTACTCGTGGTACTCTCACATGAGTACTTTTACTAGTACCATTTGTACAAACGCAAATCATTTTATACAAGTGCTTTATAATTAGCCACACTTGTTTACAGTGTACTGCCCCATTCCAGCAACAAAAAGTTCCACAACAAAGGCGCTGCCAACCGAAGAAAACACACACAAATTTATATGCACACGCACACTACAACCTGGTTCACAGAAAATTCTGCATAAAGCATATTTTGGCAGGGTGTCTAGGACAAGGAGTTCAGTACATAGCCGGCTGCTGTGTGGTTATGCCACTGATACAAAACGAGACTGATGTGTGTGTGTGTGTGTACATCCGCAGTACGCCAGCACATAACACTGTGCATCTGTCAGGAAATGAAACAGCTGTAACCCTAATCAGATTTCTTTTTCCCAACCTCAAAGAGCTCTTAAACTGCTGAAAGTACCTGATCTACATTTGCATCTGCTTTCTTTTCAAGATAGGATAAAAAAAAAGCTATTCACACTGGGAGGGAGGAAGGGAATTTTGCTCAATCAGAGCAGCAGCAGCCACATCCTTGCACACACCTCTGCAGACATGCTGCCTTGCAGGTAAGGGAGGCTGGATACCCCTCCAGCAGTTCCCTACTTGCCCTCTCCATCAGCTCGATGAAGTTTTCTGCCGGGCCTATGGCACCCTGGGCCCTTTGTGCAGCCAAGGAGCAAACTGCATAAAAGACTTGGGTGCATTTGTGTCCTGCCTGCTAAACTGTTCCCTTTGGAAGGGTGGGAGCCATGGATTCAAGGCAGCTTCTGCATTTGGCACGCAGCAGCCCTCAGAGAAGGCACTGCAGGGGCCATGGGGAAGGTACCAAAGCAGGACACAGCCTGACCTCCCACATTCACATGTGCCCACCTCCCCATCGCTACAGAGGCTCACTATCTGCACAGCACTCCCTGCGAAACGGCTCTCCTGAGGGGATTACTCCCCAAACAGCAGCGTGGCTTCCCCAGGAAAGGTGTGAGCCCTGCCACCCCAGGCAGCTCCCAACCAGGCAGCTGATGGCACCGTGCTCTTACAGATGGGGGGAGGCCTGGGATTAAAGCTGGGGATGGAGCTGAGTGCTAAACACTAGGCTGTGTATCAACTAATGGTTCAGGCTCCTTATCTGTTCCCTCTCCCCTGGTCATCTTTTAGAACACATCCATTGCCTCCATTCCATAGCCCAAACCACTATTTTCTGACGATACCAACCCTATCTGGATTCTCAACTCAGTTTAAATGAATAAATACCACGTACTGAGCCAGGTCAAGCCACACAGAGCAGAGGGGCACCTTCAGCTGTTTTAAGCCTCATGAGCAAATGAAGCCCCTAAAAGCTGCCTGCCCCATGCAGTTTTTAAACTTTGCTACATTTTCCCCACATTAGCTAAAGGCTGTTATAAACAAGCACTACTGGTCACACTTATTATTGCACTTTTTCTGTCTTTAGCTGAGGTTTCTATTTGCACAAGTTCACTGTAACAAGAAGTAATTTTATTAATCAGTTACTGTTCCCTGAACTTTCCCCTAAGATTAGAAACCAGCTCAGAGAGCCGGAAACAATCAGCGCAGGTCTAAACCAGAACTACTAAAGCCCATCAGACTCTGTCAGCTTCCTTAAATTGTAAGTCAGATGCCTTCATTTCTCAAGTCTGATTTGGATAAAGCGAGATCAAAGGGCAGCTCTTACTACCAGTCTTTTCACATTCTCCCTGGGACAGTAAAGTTTGTGATGTAGCTTTTTCCTGCTGAGGGTCACAACATTCAGAAATTTTGCCTGTCAGCCAAGTCTCTAGCAGTGTCACTTGTAGGATGGAATTTTATCTTAAAAACACCTTCTCTCCTCAAAGCTCTAGCACAGGTTCTTATCTTGGCTACAACTACACTAGCAAATTAGAGAAACATCTTACACCTAAATGACAGCAAGGGAAAAAAACCTGTATGCATCATTTAACTTAGCAGATGTCTGCTATTGTCTGCCAACTCAAGTACTCCAAGAGAAATACCTTGAACATCTATGTTTCAGTTTTCCTCTTTCCCAGAACAGTTACTGGAAGAAAAAAAAAAACAAGATTTAAGAACCAGAGATCAGCAGGCTGCTAACATATTTTGCCTCACAATCTAAAATACATCAGTATCAATACACTCCACATTTTTTTTAAAGCATACAGAGGTCAAACTGCTATGAGACACTGCCTGTAACAGATTACAATACTTAAGTAGTCAAACCCTCCCTGTGAAGTGACTTAAGAAGTTTTTTTGAGGATTGAGTAAATTGCTTTGTTTTCCCTCGGGAGAAGCAAGCATACCCCTGTAATCATGGCACCAGCCTAGTACTTGCAAAGCCTGCGTTTGAGTCTCTGTTCTGACAGAGATGTTGCAAAGGATTTGTGAAGATAAGCCTCAGTTTCCCATTTGCAAAATGGGGGTAAATATGTTTGTTCCAGAAGGTGCTGAGAAAAGAGATAAGGTTGTTGTCTTAAGGTGTATGTTTACCACAGTCATGACAGTTGTATAAATTCTGACCCATTAGAAACCTTCGGAAAATTGTTATTCTTCAGTTACGAGCCATGGCAGACATTTTAAAAACTGTTTTTCTCTATTTTAAAGAAGCAGCATTTAATCAAGTTCTCCTAGTACTTGAGAAATAGCCGGCATCTCTGGGTGCTCCCAGCATCCCAACATTTCAAATACTATATAGACAACACAGTAATCATTTTCAAAACAGTCCTAGAGTATCTTCCCTTTGTTTTGAATGTATTTCCACGCTCCATGACGCCCTTCACTAAGCTTCCATGTTCCAAATACACTTCAAGGAGGACACCTCTCCAGCTATCCTCTCAAAAGGCAAGACCTGCATCCTGACCAGCCACACCACCAGGTCTCTCCTGCATCTTCCTCCTAAGGCAGCACCTCACCTGGAGCAGTGACAAGCACTGGTGAAGCAGCCAGGGATAGGAGAAGCAGCAGTTGCAAGCAACCAATATTTATTCTGGTTATTACAAAAGTATAAGCAACTTTCATGTGATTCCAGACCACCAACCTGCACACTAGTGACCTACTTAGTGCTGTGTTTTCTCCATCAAACTTCTCTCGGCTTCTTTCCTCCTATTTTTTAACCTTGCCACACCACTTCCATTCAGTCTAGAAACTCTGCAGCTGAATACAGCTCCAAGCTCAGCAGAAAGCCAACCACAACTGAGGCTTTAGGTGCAAATAATACATCATCATCATCATAATAATGCATCAGAGGCACTCCATCTTCAAAGCCAGAACATAAAACTCAGACAGCTGCAAAGCTGAGCACCAAGGGTGGAACAGATTTCGCCTTCAACACACAGAAGCTCACAGCTAATGGAGGGAGAAGGTGGGCCTTGCCAGGTGGCAACCGACTCCCCTGCTCACCTTCCAGATATACCTTGACAGAGAAGCAAGACTTTAGTCACAGAAAGTCTGTTATCACTATGCTGGCAGCGATGACCTCAGAAATCACAGAAAAGCCTCCTTTTTCCCCTTCTATCATGTAACTTGTATTTCTGTACAGCTGCTATTATTATTTCCATGGGAACTATGTTCAACAGATACCTACCATTTCTGAATCTACATTCCCTCATCACTGCCATATCTGAGCACCTCATCTCATGTATTTAATTCATGCCACATTCCTGTAAGGTAGGGCAAGTGTATTTTCTCCCATTTAGGAAGAAATCTGAGAAACAGAAAGGCTACATGTCTAACAGAGGCTGCTACAGAAGACTGGTGGCTTGAGCTGAGATCTCTCAAGTCACAGACTGATGCCCTAACCTGATGTGCCTTTTCAGAGACCTCTCAGCCAGGAAATACATTTTATGCAAATGTACAGCAAGAAACAGCTCTTCAGAGCTGAGACAGAAGAGTTAATGAGACAAGTCTGCAAACTTAATTATATACTTCCCAGTTAGCATTCTCTCTCACCAGCCTGGCCCACTTAGTACATCCAACTCCACAATGACAACCAGACCAAAAATCTGTACTGCATTCACATATATGCTCAGAGGAGGCCACTCTAAAATCGCAGACATGTATCAGCCTCACTTACAGCTTTTCTCTATTTTAAGACTCTGTCAGTCAAGCCCACTTTTAGGTGACATTTTTAAGCAACTTGACAAAACCAGCATTCCTATCAAATTTAAGTAAAAGCTTGAGAGGGAAAATTGAACTGCAAATGCTTATAGAAGTACAACACGCATCACCTCTGCTGTCTGTCTGTAAGAGGGCATCATCTGCTTTGGTTCTGAACCTCTTTAAAATGAAGAAAAAAGTCACTTCTAAACAGACACCAAATATCAGAAATTCTATCTAGAAGTACTAAAGCAGAGTTAAGCTACAAGCAGAGATGCTGGGCCTCCAGAACAGGGACAGCTACCTAACCTTAGCTACAGCTCTAGCACCATAGTGCACCTAAAATTATTTTTTCAGACCCCTGTTCCTCCCCCACTACTCGCTCCTGGCAGCTGGAGCTCTGCCTCTTATCACAAAACCTCTTCCAAAACTCAGTTATCGTTTTGTCAGATGAGTATGTGGACTCTTACCAAACTGCTAATTTTCAGTCATTTAGGATTCATGAGCTGAGCACCAGCTCTGAACCACAATCTTCAGACTGCTTCCCTGGTGTTAGC